ATCTATCTATCTATCTATCTATCTATCTATCTATCTACCTACCTACCTACCCACCCACCCATCAACCTTCACTTCTGGCAAAGCAGACCCCAAGATCTGGGCTCTCACAACCACACCACCAGCAAATTAGTTTGGGGCCAGGTGCAGGGGGCACCTCCCCCAGCAGGGCACCAAAAAGTCTCTCTTGGCCCCAGAGGGCAGGGAGGGCTGACCCAGATGGACCAGACCTCAACAGCTCAGCACTGTTCTGTCTGCCTCAACAGGAAGCCCCATCACCCAGCCAAGGGCCCCGCAGCCCCCCACCCCCGGAGTCTTTCTCTTGCCTGGCTTGCGCCCGCAAAGGTAGAAGGCCAGCCGGTCAGTCAGCTCATACTGGCACTCCACCAGTCGCTCGGCCAGCTCGTGTTGGGACGCCTGCCTGCAGAGAGGAAAGAGCAGGTCAGAGGGTGTGATGGCATGTGGGAAAGACCTTGGGAGAGGGGCAAAGAGATGCTGCCTCGGGAACAGTCAGATAAGAAGGAGCTGAGCCCTCAGCTGCATAGTGGGAGAAGAAAGAGGCTCAGGAGGGACCCTCCCTAAATTCTCAGGCTGTAAAGGCAATGGATGTAATGGTATATGGGAAAGATCTTGGGAGATGGAGTGAAGTCATGCTGCCTAGGGAAGGGTCAGATAAGAGGGAGCTGAGCCCTCAGCTGCATAGTGGACGGGGCAAGAGGCTCAGGAGGGACCCTCCCTAGTTTCTCAGGCTGTAAAGGCAATGGATGTAATGGTATATGGGAAAGACCGTGGGAGAGGGGCAAAGAGATGCTGCCTCGGGAACAGTCAGATAAGAGGGAGCTGAGCCCGCAGCTGCATAGAGGACGGGGCAAGAGGCTCAGGAGGGACCCTCCCTAGTTTCTCCGGCTGTAAAGGCAATGGCTGTAATGGTATATGGGAAAGACCGTGGGAGAGGGGCAAAGAGATGCTGCCTCGGGAACAGTCAGATAAGAGGGAGCTGAGCCCGCAGCTGCATAGAGGACGGGGCAAGAGGCTCAGGAGGGACCCTCCCTAGTTTCTCCGGCTGTAAAGGCAATGGCTGTAATGGTATATGGGAAAGACCGTGGGAGAGGGGCAAAGAGATGCTGCCTCGGGAACAGTCAGATAAGAGGGAGCTGAGCCCGCAGCTGCATAGTGGGCAGGGCAAGAGGCTCAGGAGGGACCATCCCTAGTTTCTTGGGCTGTAAAGGAGACGGCAGGAGAACTGTACTTTCAGACTTGCACAATTCTGTTAATGTAGCCTCACAATCAAGTAGAATGAGCTCATCTGGTCGTGTTTCCTGCCTGGTCTACCTGATGCCAATGCCCAGCTCAGCACCAAAGGGTTGTAGCAGGGGGAGGGTATCTGGCAGCCCCCGTTTTCATAGGGGGCAGGATACTGATCTAGAATTATGTACATCTGCAGACCAAGTTCACACATCACTCTGTAGGCCAAAACAGGTCTGGGTGTTTTGTGGTGCAGAGCATTGCAGATACCCCGTCATTCCCTGAGCATGTGGTCTGAACATGCTATCAAGTTCAGCCATGACAGGGCTTGGTTCCTGATGCCACATGTGAATGCAGCCAAGGTGTTACGTTAACCTGGCTTGGCCTGTGGTGTGAAGCCAGGGACACTGTTACGCGCCATAGCAATTGATGCACACATCATACAGGCTTGCAACTCAACATGACCCTTTGTGCATCTGATGACACGGACTGCTCTTAGCTCGAATAATGGAGGCAAAGTAAGTCTCCACTAGATGGAGACTATTTTTATGCATTTTGCATGATCTGGGAAGGAGAAATCAAATTCACAGATACTGGATTGCAGGGACCTGGCTTGGCAGTAGCACATGTCAAAAAAGTCTAGCTGTATTACTGGATCACAACTGACTATGGGCCTGCAGCGTGATGCAGCGGCTAAAAAGGCCAGTGCGATCCTGGGGTGCATTCACAAAAGCCTGGCAAACAGGTCAAGGCTGGCAATAGTCCCATTGGCACTGATGGGGGTCCACTTGGCATATGGGACGCAGAGGCCATCGTGGATTTGGAGAAGGGGCTTGGGAAGCAAACCTCACGAGGAACGGTGCAAGGAGCTAGCAGAAGAGGTCTCTGAATCTACCAATATTGAAAAAAAACTGCCGTGTAGAAAAAGGGTAGTGCCCTCAGAGGATGGGCACGGAGGGCAGAACAAGGAGCAGGGGGAAGAGAGTCAGGCTGAATCTCAGGAGGAATTTCCTGACCGAAAGGCCGTTTAAGAAATGGGCGAGTCTGCCTAAAGCAGTGGTGGACCCCTCTAGCTGCAGGCTTTAAATAGGGGCGGCATTGTCGTCTCTCGGGGATGGTGTAGGGCATTCCTGCCCTCACTCGGGTTGGGCTGGACGACCTCTAACGCCCCTTCCCACTCAAGCGTTTGATGGATTGGATGATGCAAAAATGTGCAGCCTTGGGGATTGCTAAATACACGGTTCTGGCTCTGGAAATCCCAGAATCGGGAGAGTTTTCTCTCCTCCCGGCAGCAAACCGCCCCAGCCCTCACCTGGCGTAGTCGATGGGCGTACGGCCGTTTACATCGGGAGCGCCAGGATCAGCGCCGTACACCACCAGCAGCTCAGCCTGGAGGACCTGCCCAGCCTTGGCAGCCACGTGCAGAGGCGTGGTCCCCTTCTCCTGAAAGAAGGGGTAAGTGGGAATTCTGCACACGCCCAGAGGGCATTCCTTTGGCTCTGGACGCTGTCCAGCTTCGCCTTGGACTCACCGGGTGGAAGAAGTTGGCTTGTGCCCCCAGGGAGAGGAGGCGCAAACAGGTTTCCAGGTTGCCTGTCCGGACACTCGAATGCAGTTGCTGCGGGGGAAGAGGGAGATCGGAGCGCTGAAAACGCAGGGCCCCCAGCCAAGCCCCCCCTCCCCACCCCAAACCTGGCCAGGCCTGCCTGCCTGCCAAAGCCAAGCTGCCTCACAGGCTGAGCAAAAACGTGCAGAAAATGATGCTCTGTGTCAGTGTTTTTCAAACTTGGCAACTCAGAGACATGTGGACTTCAACTCCCAGAATTCCCCAGCCAGCGTGCAATGAAACACGGTCACCCCTCTTTTGAAAATGTTTTGCACATTTCACGCACTGGCCTCCGTGCAGGAAAAGCCCCTACAGACATCATTTTCGCTGCTTTTCTTTCGCAATTGTTTTATTTTACTTTTATCTCTCCGTCTTCCTTCATTAAATCAAGGCGAGCACAAATGCTTTTAAAAAGGATGGATCCGAGGATACCAAAAACGCAGCGCCGGCGCACGCACACGCTCACCTTGCTGAGGTCCTTGGCGGTGACCCCGTCGTCGTCCCGACATGGCAGCTTATGCACGAAAGCCAGCATTTGGTATTTGGCACGGATGAATTCGGACTTGGTGGGGCTGGGGGGGGCGGAGAAAGAAGGGATCAGGATGCGGAGCTGCGGAAAGGGATCTTTCTGCCCCGGGGGCTGGCCCTGTGGGGCGGAGGGGCAGCAAGAAGCAGGAAGAAAATGCCACCAGCCTCAGACCGGCCCCAGGTCCATCATCAGCACTGAGGACTTTGCTGCCCGCTTTGTGGCCAGGTGTGTCCGCAAAGGGGGTCCAAAAAGTCAAGATGGTGGCTGGAAGGGTACCCTGCCCCTTTTTATGTGTGGGGTTTTAGCTGTACTGTCTCCATTCCCATCTTGACTTTTTGGACCCCCTTGTGGATACCTCTAGCACAGTGTTTCTCAACCTTGGCAACTTTAAGATGAGTGGACTTCAACTCCCAGAATT